TCTCAGCATTGAGAGTTTGTCCAAAACGGGCGGTTTCTTTTGAGGTTTTACATTGGGGAGACCGCGAATTTCAGCGAACGCAGAGCACAAAGCAACGCTGCTTCGCATTTCGCAATATTTTTATCAAGTCACAAGTACAAGTTGTCGCTGAGTTTTATTTCACTATACAGCAAACGCAAAATATAAAATACAGCAAAATAATAATGACAAATATGCCGAGTGATAGATTTGGACTTAAAACTCATAAAAATTCTATTTGTTTGTGTGAAATCACAAATTCATCAAGTATATCAGGTCAGATCAATGCAGTTACCGGTACTATTGCAGATGATATATTTACCACAACCGGTTTGTAAAAATCTCTTTTGACCTAAATTCCTGTCATCATCGCTCAAAACTTCACAAGTCACCGGGTGGTCATTTTTTAATTGCTGGCTTCTAAATAGGCAGTAGGCTTTTGAAAAAAATTGCCAGCTCGTATCTGATGGCTCCACAGTATGTCAGCGGGCTGCCCTTTATGTCTCTACCAACCGACATTTGCATATGAAGCAAAGAGTTGGGCAGGCATGAGCAGTGAGGCGCGGTGGCTTTTCACAGACCTGCACTTGGGTGCTAAAACTAGATTAATTAATAAGTCATGGCCCGCCGTCAGTTTGACAAATAGTATCTGTCAGGGGGTTGTTATTGTGGCGTGTTTGTATCCACTCACAGAAGTCAGGAGATTCATTCAGCCAAATTAGAAATATTTTTTATTGCCGGATGGAGGGTGGTTGTGGTGTACACAGAGGGTTCGTTTATGAGGACTATTGAGCTTTGCCATTGTTCAAGGATAGGTTTTGTTCCCCTTTGCTAGCATTTATCATTCAAAAATAGGCTAAATGCTGCTTTCACCGTACCCGATGTGTCAATGACCTGTTCTGAAAGCTAGCATTAAAACTCCCCCCTTCTTTTTTCTTGAGTGCACTGATTGTGATGAAGCGTGTTGGTCGAGTGATCATTCAAAAAGTTAACCATTTACCACTCCGTTGCCTGTTACTTTTAACTTAGTGTTTGTTATTCGACGCCGGGAGAAATCGCTAAAGAAATTACTGCCGGAGTGCCGGGTAGAGCACAAGATCAAAAGATCTTACAGTAAATGAGACCAAATTACCGGTACTGTAGAAAGGAACCTCATCCAATATACAGTGGAACATCGCTATAACAAACACTGCTTAACGAACATTCGGCTATACCGGACATCAGCCTTGGCTCCCAATTTTTGTGTACAAAACGTACCAAACGTTGTTGTTGGAAATGTCAACGGAAGAGCCACAAATGGCTATTATTAAAAACTGTGTAATTACATAATTCAATAGTCGCACGTGTTCGAAGTTGTCTTTCGGTAACTACATGTACCAGTACCAGGGCGTACTTGGTGAAGTTCTGCTACGGAATTGAAAATATTAATGGACAACTACACAATAACAATGATCAAAAGAGGGGGCCAAAAATGTGTGGAAATCGCTATACCGAACAATCGCTATTACGAACAATTTCTGTGGATCCCATGATGTTCGTTATAGCGATGTTCCACTGTACTGCATCGAATTTAAGCAGAATTTAATACTGCATAGAATTTAAGAGCATTTTAAAAAATAATTTAGTATCTGACTGTTCCAAGTTGGACTTTATCGAATAATCAAATATTGACTGTTGGTGACTAGCCTGTGTAAAAGTCATGGGTTTTTTATTAACTGTCTGTGACTGTTCAGACAGCAGGAGGGTTCAGTTTTAAAAAAAAAACTTCAAATGTACAATGTATAAGTTTATGGAAAACAGGAGTAAAAGTGTATGCGCATAAATTAAAAGGACATGATTGAAAATCGCTTGGAAGAATTCAAATAACACAATGTTGTGCTGCCAGAAAGAATATGTTCCACGTTATCTAAAATTGTGTTGTTATTTTTTTAAGGTCCCAGAACCCACTGTTTTGTTTAATTAATAGAAATTGATAACTCTGTATCATCAGAAATGTTTTTAGGATTTCACCCAGTAATGCTAGCCCCTCCCCTACTATTATCTTAAAATCTACCCTTAAGACCAGAGTGTCAGATTTTTGATCCCCTGAATTGAAAAAGCTGTCATAGAAAATCCCAAGGAAGTGTCCTCCCTGACTCTAGAAACCAAAATTGCAGGATAAAATGTCCACGCTTTGTCTTTTTTGTTTTATTTATTGCGTCTTACCCCCCTACACCACACACCCATCTCCAATTTCTCTCCGGGAAGCTGGCCGTCCGCCCCCAACATACCCCTCTCTTCCTCTGCTTTGAGCCCCTTCCTTTCCTGGCTGTCTTCTGTGTAGCGTTATGAAGGGCGTGATGTGACGGGCAGGCGGGGATGGTCAGCATAGCCCCTGGATCATAATGGGAGATGACACTATCAGCTACTTGCTCTTAATCCACTTGTCAATTTCAGCCCTTTGTCTCCTATAGGGGATCATATCTCGTCACTCCCCGCTATGATTTTCTCGAACAGCTGATTTTGTTTTAATAGGGAATATAGGCCTCGGCCTCTTGTTCTGGCTATGATTTTGTTAACCAATGGCTTGGGTGTGTAGGGGCAAAGGCTTCCAACTGTGTGTTTGACACAAGTTGAGGATTGGTTGCTTTGTCCTCAAGCAGGTTCTTCAAACCTTAATAAAACTCCCTGTTCATTTTAGCAAGGAATTTCTTAATTTTCCAGATTTAAGACTGGTCACGTGATTTAGTGGCACATTCTTTGTTCTGTTCTGGAAATTGCGATGTGTACATCAAGCCCTGTGTAAAGAGCTGTACAATGTTCCTTCCTCAATCTTGCAAAATCCTAGAAAAACTTCCTGTTGGATTTTGAAAGATCTTAGTTGGTAAGACATCTGCACTAGATAGCAGGAGGTTGTGGGTTTGAGTCCCACCCGAGTGATTTTTTTCCAACTTTCACTCGGGAGGTAACACACCGAGTATACAGTGTTTATACATCGGTGAAGGGCAAAACCTAATATTGATTTAAATCACCTCGACGCAAATTCCATCTTATGAATTCTTAGTTTTAGTTTTTTTAGGGTTTTTTAATGGAGGATTTGCCAAAATGTAGGAAGGTTGAAGCCAAGCTGCTATTACTTTGCATTGGGATTGATGCTGCGCAGTTAACAGAATGTGACATTCAGTTCATCAAGAAGCGGGTGCTAGAAAGAAAACAAACTTTTAAGGTTAATAACATGTGATGTAACCAAGACTTTGTCAGGTCCTTCAAAATTCGCCAGAAACTTTTTTTAATGGATTTTGAAGGTTTTTAGAAGATACATGTACATACCGGTACGCATGTCATGCATGTAGAACCCAGCAACTATAAGCTTACAATGTATGTTCATACATGTACATGTACATGACAAGTCAGTAAAGATAAGGTGTCATTTGGTTCCTGCACAGTGGAGGATTTTGCAGGATTCAGAATTTCCTTCGTAAAGATGTCTTGGAGTTGAGGCCACCCTTATACAGTAGTGTGCTCTGCTCAAGTCGTCATAAGCCCCGAAATAGCTCAAGTGCAAATATGTTGCCATGAGTTCCTGCACACACAGCAGTTGTCTTTAACCAAGACTAGAATTAGGGTGGCATGGGTGGCTAGTGCGTAAGGGGCTTGCCTCTCAACACTGTGGCCTGGGTTTGATTCACGGCTCAGACCATATGTGAGTAGAATTCTGCATTTTTTTCCGGGCTGTCCAGTTTTCCTCTCTCCGCAAAAATCATCACTTTCGATCTCTGGCTGTGCTCCGTGGTCATACACGGGTCCAGTGGCGGCTGCCTTAAGGCGCCTTTACATGCCTGCAGCTCGACCACGTAGCCGCGTCCTCCGCAATTCAGCTTCTCAGCTGTGAGTAAGGATGATTTGCCCCCCCCCCCCCAAATTGTTATTATTATTATTATTTGGAGTATGTTTTTCTAGCACATAGACGGTCCTTGGCGGGTGCAGACAAGCTGCATCGGTGGTAGAGGGCATCAACAAGATGAATCAAATCTTGGAGACCTTTGCACTTGCACTACATGCTCAAGCTAATTTGAGCTCATGAGGCGAGCTGGGAATTTCTGGGGTCTGGATGCCAAAGTTCCAGAGACTGAACTTGATTCATCTTGTTAAATAGCACCCTCTACTGCCGATGCTTCCTGGCTGCGCTTGCCAGGGACCATCTGCACGTTGGGGCGACATACATCTTGTACTCCAAATCCAATCCAGGGCCCAGGAAGGTTCTCATTTTGACTCCCTGCCCACACTCTCTGAACCTTCACAAGTTGTTAATGATTCACCGCACTTGAAGTAGAACGCTGGGTGCCCCGACAGTGATTTTCAAGATGAGCTTGTGCGATAAAGACATTGGAGACCTCAATGTCTTTATAAGAAACGTCCTTTCCGAGACATACCCAAACAGAAGAGCACTCTGATGGAAGATGTCAGTTATGTTGAGGGGACTTTGGTCTGATGTGGAAAGTACATGAACTGTCCAGTGTGTAAACCTATTAGCCCAGTTTTATAGTGCACTTGCACCTGGATGGGCTGGTTTTCCTCCTTCGTTCTTCCCCGATGCCCCGCCCCTTTTGTGGGTCCTCTGTGGCATATCCTATCAATGCTTAGTATACAATGTACATTGTATGTATGAAGTTATGGGTGGTGGTATGAGATACTGTCTTCTTTTTAGAATCACTTGTTTGCCGAAATTTTGCACCAAGCTGATATATGTGGTACCAGGGTCATCCTGAAACATGCTAGGTGGTGGACTGCTTGAGACATCTGCACCGGTAAACAGGAGGTTGTAGGTTCACATCCAGCCTGAGCAAGCATCTGATTTTGTTTTCTGACAAAGTTCTATGGGGGAAAAAGCACACGCAATCTTTAGAACTTGCATGATGGACAATTGCCACATTTCTTTTGCATTGTCTCGCAAACATTGTACTGACATTTTCACAGAAACAAAGTAATTTTCACAAAGAAATTGACTGGAGCAGGGTTTGAACCTGCGGCCTCCGGATTCCTGGTCTGGTGCTCTACCACCTGAGCTATCCAGCCCTATGTTGGCGGTTCCCAATTTTTCACTGTCTTTGTTCAAGGGGTCCGCTAGTCAGAAGCCATGAACTAAAGTATATGTCAAAACAAATTAAGTGTGATGATTAGTGCTAGTGATTGAGTATTCGGAATTCAAACGTGGTTTCGATTGAATACTTGCAACTTACCGATTATATTTTACTTGTGCCAAGTGCCTAAGCCATAATTGAATGTGCCAGGTGGAAATTAAATAGTCTGCCAATTGGGATTTGCGTGCATCTTTGAAAATTCTTTAAAAATCAAACATCATGTAGGCCTATGCATTAATATATTTATTTGAGGTAGCTGACTAGCTGACATTGAACGATTATCAAGATGCAATTAGAATATTAACCCTTTTGATGCACAGGGCGGTTGCCAGCGACTGCTCCCAAAAAGTTATGATCTGTGCGTCTAATCAAAATAATCTATGCACCGAGAAAGTCAGTGATCATAATTACAAAATGTTTCATCCAATTGACCTTAAAGTTAAAGGGCCCATGCAATGTAATAGTTGTTTAAAGCAATCCTTGAAAATACACCTTTGTGTCCCATTTATCCTTGGTTTTTATGCCTATGGGAATTTCCATATATTCATGAGCAAAATTGTGATGTTCTTTCAGGCAGAAACCTCAGCTAGTTACAGCACCATAAGTTGCAAGAATTTTGGATATTTCGCTGTCGTAAATCTTCTTTTCTTTGTGATATGTTGTTGTGTCAGTTCATGGCAGTAAGCCAATGAGCAAACTTTTTCTCACAAATGTTTGCAATGAACAAATTCTTGGGTTCACAATTTGAGCAGAAAACCCCTCAACTGAACAGAGTCTTCCTGAAATGACATCACAGCTACAGCGCCCTCAGTTTTCCAGAAAAGCATGAAAATTTTTTAATGTTTAACCCTAACCTTTCCAAATCCTCCAAAATCCTCTTTGCAAAATAAAGGATTTTGCAGGATTGAGGCAACGTGGCAAAAATGTATCTAGCCAGTTTTGGAGGATGCACTGTGTCAAGGTCTCAGGCCGGACCATGTGTTGTTTATGCTCAGCAGTGCTTATAAATTTAGGCCTAGATTATACTTGAAATCCTCCGCATTGCTCCAGGATGTCACTGGCTCTGCCTCAACATGTTGACACTGATTGCCAGAGGATTTTGCCTGATCAAGGCAGTCACCCCTCCAAAGACCTCATTCAAGAAATAATGGAGGATTTGGCAGGAATGAGGCTGTATGCAATTTTTACATTGTGGCAGTTGGAGGATTTTGCAGGATTGAGGTTGCATCCTAGCAAAATGCCTAGGGAATTAGGGTTGAAGAAGTGCACTTTGCAATAAAATTAACTAAAAAGGGATGTGAATACAGGTACATTGTAGTTTTCATAAATTAAAAGAGGAGTAGAAAGCAAAACAAAATATGTTCTTAAGGCCAAAAAAAGTCTCCGGTTTCTGGCATGGAGCTTGTTCCAAAAGTGGTGCGGCTACGCGGCTTTTTTTGTTTTGTTTTTACTTTTTTTCTTCAAATGTTGGCTGATGACTGCAAATGGTGCCCGACTAAATTTAGTGCAAAATATATGGGAGTCCAGAGAGGCCACATAAATACTCAATTGTAACCATCTAAAATCTAAAAATTGTGCAGCAGCAGGATTCCAGTCAAACCAGTGAGTTTGGCAGTTTTGAGACATCATCTTACATTGAAAAAAAAACAAATTCATTTTGCCGACGCGCAAAGTAAGAACATTCATAGAAATCAGTCGTTGCATTGTTGAGACCAGAAGGCCACCCACCTCCCCCCTCGCCTCCCTTCTAACCCAGTTGTAAGATAACCAACAAATGACCGCTCTTTTAGCATTAAGATTTTGTTGTAAAATATGAAGTTGATGATCCTGCCCTTTAAAGATTCTCTCCCTGCTCTTCGTCTTCAAGTGTTTGTTGGTTTGGGCTGCCTGCTCCTCTCTCTCTACACGTGGCCCCGATGATTGATACTGTGTTTAGTTTCCTCATTTGGTGTTTCCCGGTGACTTCAAAGTGCAAAAGAAAAACAGCCCGGCGCATCACGGATAGCTTACTCGGCAGCCTTTACAAAAAAAAAAAATCTGGGTGTAGAAACTATACGTGTAGCTGAACTGCAATACCGAGAGTCAATGTGGCGGAACAAATTAGGATACGTCTGGCCAGTTATTAACACTAGAAAATTGTTCATGTATTGGCCGACCTCAAACACATAGTAGCTATCCTTACCATTAAATGCATTGAAGCACTTTATTTCCACTAAAGTGCAGCACCTAATTTTTTTTTTCTTTCTCAACCCTTTGTGTCACAAACCTCAGTAATAAATACAATTGTATTTTTTTTGTTGAGGGTCAGGAGGATATTCGACTTTGTATTGTTTCGACCTGTGGAATTACTTATGTTTTAAACAGTGGCGATTATAATGATTGTCAAAAGATGAACTGTATGGACATATTGGAGTATCCATTTATTAGATATATATTTGTTTCTGTGATGATACAGTGCAGGACAATCCCGTTAAATCCAATTCTCTGTGTACCTCCGACCACATGATGTACAAGATCGTATAAGTGGTGGTACATGTACCTTAGTTTGGTCTGTAATTATTTTCTGCTCATTGGATACATGTATGTCACATATTAGTGCTGTATAACATTCACTTTCCCAACAGCAGCTCATTAAAGTGCCTGAGTGACACGCATTTTGTACGCCCGAATTTACGGAATAAGCCATTTGCAAGTTAAATTTGAATAAAATCTGGAACGCTGACTTAATCCAACGCTTTGCACATTTTAACTTTGCATTCTCCCGACCAAAGAGACTGTTACTACATCACGTGATTCGGGGCAAGCCTTATGTTAGCAACACCCAGCTCTGGCATGGTCTGGTGTCTTTGTGCCATTCTCACCCATTGTGAGCGATGTATTGATGCTGAGCGTCTCTTACGTAACTATGCAAGAGCTTGCCCCGAATCATGTGATAAGCAACAGTGTCTTTGGTCTGGAGAATTCAAAGTTAAAATGTGCCAAGCATTCTGAGCAAGTCAGTGAACCAGATGTTATTGAAATGTAAATCCCAAAGGGTATAGGTTACTCGCAAATGGCTTATTGCGCTGCAGCTATACATGTATACATTTGAATGTACATACAAATTCGGGAAAAACTTGAACTAAAAATGTGTATGGATACATGTACATATACTACATGTATACATTTGCTTGCACTAGTTATGTACATGTTTTGTAATTTAAGCCACAAAAAAACCCCACATTTTTTATTCAAGTTTTTTCCAACTTCATTATAAAAACGAATTAAAAAAAGGGAAGTATAATTTGTCAAATGTCATTTTTTTAGTCCGACTACACTGGAAAGAATTGTCGCGCCAAATGTTGGAAATCGTGTCGTATCATTTGTTCCCTTTTTGACGTGTTACCACAGGGTCAGATGAATGGCACAACGACGGCCAAAGGGGACAACAAACCTAAGGCCAAGGCCAAGACTGATACAAAACTGGTAAGCATTCTAATCTTCCTATTTTTTTAAAAGAAAACAAAATGCATGAATGGTTATATTTGTTTATAATGGGGCAGATAAGGTAGATATGTGGGGGAATTGTGCCTTTGGTGATACAAGCAAAGCATATGGCACACAGTCAGAGTATGTCTTAAGAAAGATGTTTGGCTATGTGGCCATCACAGATTTGTCCTTTGAATAAAAATATAGGTAGTCTCAGTAACAAGCAATTTTCAAAAGTTTCAAAATGGCTGCAATTGCCTGCTATTCTACCTACATGTATATTTTTTCAAAGAACAAATCTCCAATGGCCCTATAGCCAGATATCTTTCTCATGACATATTCTGACTGTGTGCCAAATGCTTGTATCATCAAAGGCACAATCTCATCACTTGTCTGCCATACTATTAAGGCCACTTTCAGTTATGAAAAAAAACTGATCCACCAAATTACGTACAAATTACAAAAAACGTACTGTGTTTAAAGACACATAGGATCATTTGCTATCATCCCAAGAGTAACCTGCCAATTTAGTGTAAGAAAATCTTACTTGGGTTTTATAAACCCTACGGTAACAGTCCTGAATCCTCTAGCTTTTATATGATTTTTTTCACACACACTAGGGAGTTATTATAGGGTTAAACATGGTACTGGTTCTAAACACATTGGCAAATGTTTTTCCGTCTGGCTTGCTGTCATTTAGAAGAAATCAAGAAATGTAGGTGATTTTCAACGATCAGTCAATTGACTGGTCGCTCCAAATAAAGAGTAGTATTAACAAAATCATGTTTCGTGATCAAAAGATTTTACATGGTTTTTCACCTTTTTGGGGGCTAAAAGTGTAATATCCACTGAGCTGAAACTTCAACAGGTTTTGAACATTCTTCTTTGGATTTTGAGTGGTGCTATTATTGGACATGAACAAAATGCATAAAGTGCAAATGATCTGCCTTTAAAGATACATGTACATGTATATGTACTGAACTCTCCTCTGAAGAATAAATCCCATACCAATATCCAGTAAAAAAACAACTTGCGTTTACTGTGCAATAGGCCGACAATACAACAAATACGGTACAATTGAAAGAACATCGTGGAGGTTTTTCATCATTTCTTGGAGACAGGTTACATAATTTGAATATTTGAATTGAAAAAAAAAGAAACAGCCCTACAATTTGTCATGTGACGTTCAGATGCATATTGCTAAAGTCAAAAGTTTTCCACTCAATAATGTTGGGGCCAGTTTGTCTCAATTGTAAATGATGAATTGACGTGATATTTCAATTTATCCTGTAAATCCTTTCACATCAGTCTTTCTCCATTTGTCCCTATTGCCAGTGGTGACTTTTTTTGAGTGTGGTAATTTCTTGCTCTTTTTTTTTTTTTTTAAATACAAAGTATCTCTTGGCGTATGGCATGTGCGTGTTGGAGTAAACTGCTGGAGGGGTCCTGCATACTAATCCCTCATCCCTCAGTAGCCACTAGCCCAAGGGGGTTTCAAGGAAGCATTCTTGATCCCCTAGATTGCCCAAATTGTCCTGGAGGGGGGTCAGCAGTGACAAGGCGCGAAAGACTGTGAAGACCCCCCAGCCAAATTAGAATTGGTTTCTGTGGACCTTGCCCTGTGGGCACGAGGGAGGAAGGGGGGGGGGGGGGGATTGGGTACACACCCATCTCAAGTGGGGACTGGATGTGGTTGTTGCTTAATACTGAATGGGTTTGCAGTTTTGGCAAGGCGGGTGTACTGGCAAGATAATAGAGAGTTCTCCACGTTTAATATTGGGTTTTGCCCTCTAAGGACATATGTTACAAGTACTTTTGTACATTGTTAACTTTCTGAGAGCTAGCGAGATGTATTCATGAGCTTGCTAAGATCCGACCAGAAAGCTCATGGACCTGGGTAGGAATGCAGACTCGGACCCTGGCAAGCTTGGCTGTCTATGGGTTAACCCTAACCTTCCGAACTCCATCAAAATCCATCTCTCCATTTGTGAGGATTTTGGTAGGCAAGCCATGAGTATACCAAGTCCATCAAAATCCACCTATAGCAGTGGTGACTGTGCAATGTTCCCGACACCCCTATGTTCCGACTGCTCAACCTATGTTCCGACACCCCTATGTTCCCACACACCTTTGTTCCGACATAACGATGTTCCGACACCCATATGTTCCGACCGCTCAACCTATCTTGCGACACCCCTATGTTCCGACACCCCTACGTTCCGACACCCCTATTTTCCAACAACCCACACATATATGTAATATTATGCCAGCCCATTTAGAATGGTGCGTTGCCTACTGGTAAGCTTACGTTTGTAGGGGTGTCGGAACATACAGGTGTCAGAACATCTAGGGGTGTCGGAACATGCATACATAGGTGTGTAACCATAGCAGTGGTGGATTTGTGGTGGATTTCAGCGGATTTGGTCCTAAAGCATTATGTGAAGCAGACTCGGGATTTTGACAGGCTTGGTACTGTTTGTAGTAAAACTCAATAGAGATTTAGGGTTAAGGCATCTACACTGGTACATGTAAGTAGGAGGTTGTGGGTTCGAGTCCCACTCAAGCTGGCTCTTGGACTGCAAAATTTGAGTCATGAATACAAATATAATGATTGCGGTACCTGCAGCTACATACTGGGTATGTACACCAGATTCAAACAGGTACAACTAACACTTTACAAGAGCAATGATTTCCAAATATTTCATAGTCCTACCGGTACATGTATGTGCATGCTGGTAAACCCACACTTCAATTTGTAAAAGGTGTATTTCTAGTATGGCAGATACAGTGTAGGTAATGGGATTGTGCCTTTGATGATACAAGCATGGCATTTGGCACACAGTCAGAGTATGTCATGAGAAAGATATTTGGCTATACGGCCATCGCAGATTTGTCTTTTGAAAAAAATATACATGTAGGTAAAATAACAAGCAAAGGCAGCCATTTTGGAAATTTGGAAAATGTCTTGTTATATTTTTTCAAAGGACAAATCTGCGATGGCCCTACCGGGGTATAGCCAAATATCTTTCTCAAGACATCATCTGACTGTGCCAAATACCGTGCTTGTATCATCAAAGGCACAATTCCCCCAAATATCTCCCCCGTATCTGCATGCCCTACTAATCTAATGAATACATTCTATGACAGTCTTCACAAATTTGCAAAACAAATGACAACGTACATGTAAATATATTTGGAAAAATTAACTCATTGTCACCTGACACAAAATTTCGTCACTTATGAAAAAAAAAAAAAAAAAAATTAATAATAGCATCAGGTCGAAGCACCAAGTATCTTCGGAGCCCACTTAGTCTAGTGTGGATAGGCAGCCAGAATGATGTTAAGCCTCTCCAGTAAATGTCAAAAGTCTTCAGGGCCCCCCAGCTTGAAAAGGTTCACAAGTTCTTTCCGGCAGCTTTGCGTCTGTTGCCACCCTCTCATTTGGAACCTTACACTTAGACCTTCAACTTGGGAAACTGCACGTAATAACCCCCCTGTTTATGTATCAAGTAATTACAAGAAAAACTGCGTGGGTTGCGTTGTGCGTGAGTCCACGGCACATATTATATACACAATACGATGGTAAGAAAACGAAGGGGCCAAAAAAAAAGCAATTTACTGTGTAACGAGTCCTATTGATTTTAGAGTGGCGTTAATTACGTGGAGGGGGAGGGGGAGTTGTATGCAGTTGCGGGGATACCCTCGCGTTGTGAAGACATAAACTGTTCAAAACCCTGGCCCACGCACCAGATCAGATTTGTCGCACATGTCTCTGATGCGTTGTTGTTGTGGGGGGGGGGGGGGGGGGGAGGGGAGGTGGACTGAAGGCTTGAACGCCTGCGTGCGTAAACCGTGACACTTGAGCGACTAATTTGGGGTATAACTTGCGCAACAGTGATAGGTGTGTGTCGATCCGTGTCACCTTGTTTCCGTATGCGTGGGAAGTGCAAGACGACGTGGAAGGCTACATATTGGGAAATTAAGGGGTGATAACAGTGATGAGGCTCATTCGGAAATTGATTTTCATGTTGTTTTGCCGAACTGCAGACATTTGTACTCGCTATTCAAATAGAACACTATATATAGTTTTGGTAAACAACTTATCAACAACATCATGAGGGAAACATATTGCATGTATGTACAATGTACATTTGAATTTGTTTGGGTGTCTTTTTTTCTTTTGCATGTTCAATGTACATACTTTAGGTAGCACACTCAGTGGGGCACCATTGTCATTGTCTGGAGTTGGTGGGTTCAAATCCTACTCTTGTCAATTGCCATTGGTTTGACACACTCAGTGGGGCACCAATGTCATAATCTGGAGTTTGTGGGTTCAAATCCTACTCTTGTCAATTTCCATTGGTTTGACAGACTCAGTGGGGCACCATTGTCATAATCTGGAGTTTGTGGGTTCAAATCCTACTCTTGTCAATTTCCATTGCCTTGGCATACTTAGTGGAGCACCATTGCCATAATCTGGAGTTGGTGGGTTCAAATCCTGCTCTTGTCAATTTCCATTGGCTTGACACACTCAGTGGAGCACCATTGTCACAATCTGGAGTTTGTGGGTTCAGATCTTGCTCTTGTCAATTTCGATTGGCTTGACACACTCAACATTTTAAGCCTCCTGTCTCGATAAACCAATTTCATAGAAATTACTTCAGGTGGTCTCAAAAAACAAAAAAACAAAAATACTCGCCAACATCTCTAAGGAGAAATAAAACAATGTGGAATATACAGACGTCTTGAGTCTCAAATTTTAATACACGTCTGATCTAACTTTAGCCCATCATCTGAAACAATGTCGACAATGCACGTGCTGGCTCCGGGAATCAAAGTCGGTAGTTATAAGGTACCACCCATCATTCTCCTAAAAATAGCTATTTTGAACGGCAACATTGGTTCTATTTAAAGCTCTTAAAACAAGCAGAGCATTTGTGTGGCGGGGATGAGACACAAGCATCCTGGATTCCCAGTCCGTACCTGTTGATGATCTTCCCCTACTCCCTTTCCCTCCCCCCCCCCCCCCCTTCCCTTCCCTCCATAACTCTCTTCCTTTCTCTCGTCTCAAGTCGCAAGTCACTGCCGGTGTTCTTCGTCAGGAATTTCCTCCCGTCCAGGTTGACACCCCCCATCTCCCCACTCCATCCCCCACCCCCATCCCCCACCCTCTGGGGACCTGTCCTCTTCGATGTTTGTCTTTGCTCGAGGATGTTAACTGGAGCAGGGAGCCAAGCCTCTTTTGCCGGCTTGCGCATCATGACGTGAATGCGGCGCTTGTTATTCTTTCAGTGAACAGTTGTTGAGTGTTGTGATGTGTTGTGGCATGAGACATTTTTTTTTCCACTGGAGAGATGCTACGGCAAAGGGTGCTGTAGATCCTTAAAGGTATTAACCCTCCTACTACATGTATTTAGGAGGTCACCAATGGTCAAAACGTTTGAAACGGTATCTCACCTCCTGGCATACTGTGTACAAACCAATGGGGGTCTTGACCAATATTGACCCAAGTAATAACAAGGCTGACAATGCATGTTTCCATAGGAGGGTTAATATACAATGTACAACATTTGCAAACATCAAAAAAGAAAACTACCAAATTATTATCAAATACCCTACTTGACTGTGAGTGAATAATAGTCTCAAGCATCCTGTGAGATCATGGCACCTGGTGTGCTGTCATTTTCAAGAAAAGTGGAATTTTTGTATCAATTTCAAACGATGGTCGGCCAACCATCATTGGAAAAAAAACTGACCTTTTCAAATGCTGCCCCAAGTTTACCAAATTTGGTTAGTCTATATTTTGTTTGCAATCTGTTACACATCCATGAACTTTTCAGTGGTTGGCCTATACACCTACATGTACATGCAGCAGGAACAGCATGCGTATCTTTGAAAAGCCAGATAAAGCGGAGTGCAGTATGGACCGTGGTATACGGGATAATGTAGCACTGTTTGTTGTCATGGATTGACCAATCAGGATTGAGGATTAAAGTTTGCTTGACAAATAAATGTTGAAGTACCTGAGACTCTGACCAATTCTTTATTTTATTCTTTATTGTCATGACAGGTAAAAGGCAAGGGCAAGAAGAAAGTACTCGCATTGGATGAAATCAAGGGAAAACTTCAAGAGGTAAGTTGCTACAAACAGTCTACAAATGTTGCACGGAAAAAAAAAATGGCCTAAAAAATGGCCTAAAAAAAGTCCATATCAAGACCAGGGGACTGATTTCCAGGAGCTACTAAGTATGAAAAGTTGGTAAGCACAGAACATATTTGTCGAGAAATATTGGTTGCCAGCAAGTGTGCCCCGTAATGTGTATTACAATTGACTGATTTCCAGATGATGTTTTCGTAGCACGTCGATTTGCTTAGCACTATTTTTAGCCTAGCAGTTGTGTAAAATTTGGCCCAGTAGGTATTCCTTTTGCTGTTTTCATGATTGAAGAAATATGGAAATACCGGTACCAGGTACATCTCAACTGTTTCTGTAATCATTTATGCACAAATCTTACAAACATGTATACTGTACTGTACGTATACGTAAAGGCATGTATTGTATTTAATAACATTTTGTTAAATATTATATGGCATCTCTTCAAGAATTAGACTTGGGAGGGTGTATACATGTAGCCTACACATTGTAAAACTTACTCCTCATTTGGGTCACAAACAATGGGCCACTGAGGCCACTGATATGTTCCCGACAGTCACAACTCAGGCACAGCTTGATCCTGAAAAGTCAGTCGCCGACTGATCTGTGTCATCGCAAGGTCAACCTGAGGGTGGCATAAAGCTTGTGCTGGGTTTGGTGGTAACAAAGCATTAGATATGCATGTAATGGACCAATCAGAAGATGGGAAACCCAAACCTCACGGGGAAAGAAAAATGCCACCTCCAATTCCCACCTACCCACCAATATCTGAGGCACAAGACCAAAATGCCCATATCACGATAATGACGATATCAGTTGGGGCGTTTTCCTTTCCTTTAATACCAGAACTGTTATCACATTAGGCTGTGTAATTAGCTGGTATTACATGTCCATGACTCACACGAATATATACCGCTCCCTTGCCCCCTTTTAGCTGATAAGATTGGGGCTACAAATGTAGGGGAATAGGGAAGGTCCCATTTGATTTTGAAAAGAAAATATATACTCGTAAATAGAGTAATTTACATTTGTACCTTTCTTGGTCATCATAGAGGGCGTTGTGGGCGTGGTTTGGACTAGTTGGTCAACTGTACCTCTCCTGAAGAGTTAGGGCCTACATGTATAAACAATGGAAAACTAGAAATGTGTTAGTGGACAAACACCAGCTGTTTTGGCTATTTTAAATGACTCTGTGGCATGATGATGACAAGAACGTGTACAAAAGCTATGAAGAAAAGAACGTGTACAAAGCCTATGGAGAAAAGAAGGTGTTCAAAACCTATGGAGAAAAAAAAACGCATTCAATGTGACGTAACTTGACACCTGATGACGTCATCGTGACAAAAATCTTCGGCGTATATCTTCGGGTGGTGGTCTAAGCATCTACCAAGTTTGAAGTTGATCAGACTTACGTGCCAAAGTGTATCCATGGGTAGAAGAAAAATGTGTAAAAATCCTATGGAGAAGAGTCTAAAAAAGAAAAGGAAAAAAAGAAGGAAAAAAACAGAATTAACGAAAACGAGAGCTGTTTCGGCTGAATTGCTGAAACCAACCAGCTTCAAGATTAAAATTTCACTCGGTGCTGTACATGTACATAATTTGAAGATCGGCCAGTCACTTGCATGAACTTTGAAAAGAAATGGGTTTATGAGGAAGATGTAATGTGGCTGGCTCTGTTTGTGATTATCCAAGAATGACGGTGTCGGATGGGCCGGGAGAATTGATTGATTTGCCTGGTGTTTATGAATCAATGGTCGTATCAATGTTTATGTCTGTGGAAAGCTCTTGTAATTGACCGTGCATTTATCAGCTTCCTGTCCCGTCCCCCGTCAAACTGAAGAAGACCTCTCAAATGTAAGAGGTTTTTTTCTTCCCCATTCCTTTTGTAAGACAGATTGAAGGAAATAGGTGACGGTTCTTGGGCAGACACCAAGGCGCAGAATGTTAACAGATTTAACAAGCCTTGATTTTTTTATTTCTCCCTTTTTCTTCTTCGTTTTGATTCTTTTTTCCTTTTAGGAGGCTATAAAAGCTTGCCAGCAGATTCTGTAATGTGCCGCGCAGAGATCCACTTTGCTTTTAAGGGAAATTTGGAAGGGAATGGAAAATTGGATGTCATTTACACACAACTAAGCTGTAAAAAAAAACCTGTCTAGTTGTACAAATCTAAATGTACTTTGCATCATCATCGTGGTACATTCTTTGAACCCTTCATCTCCTGCTGTCTGAACAGTCACAGACAGTCAAAAAAGTAAATCCTCTTCCCTGCCATGTCTGTGGCATAGTCACCAACAGTCAGAGTATATTTGAAGCAAGTACTGTGACTAGTCACATTCAGTCAACAGACAAAAGCAGGCAAGTGGTAGGCACAGCTGGCTTATCAATCACCTGTACATGTATACAGTCAAAGCATAACTGTATCAAGTTACATATAAACAGTCACAGCCAGTCAATCCTGCTTTATGTACCGGAAGGCTGGGAGCTCTTGCCTGTTAAAAACAGTCACTTGATTGATTTTGACTAGAAGGACAACTGTGCCCAGAATGTATGTTTGTTTGCATAAAATGTATGTAAAGTTTCAAGGACCATCAAGTCCAATGTACATGTGTAAATTGGGATCTACCGCGGTACCTTCCTCAATCCTGCAATATCCTCCAAAACCTCAGTGAGGAATTTGAAGGATTTGGGAGGTTTATAGTTTTATTGATCTTGTAATCTACCGGTAGGTTACTGTGTCATCGCTGTTAAACCCCCTGCCCTGTGTTTCTATCTTCATATAATGTACATGTACATGTCTGTGCTTTGCAGCAATGCTGCCACTCATGTCTTTATTTGTCTAAACATTTGTGGTCACTTTATAAAAAACAACAACATTAGTTTCTTTCTCCCTTTTGTCCTTGTGTTTTAAATTGTCTTTCTTCTAGAGCTTCCCTTAAAAGACAATTGCTTCTCTCAGTGTCTTCTTACCTTTCGTAGGGCTTTTCCTCTTCGCATTGACTTACCCGAGGGTCAAATCCTGGGGTTTTTCTCCAATCAATCTCTCTAAAAAACCTCAATTTCCTGTCGCCTTCCTCCCCCGGCCCTGCCTTGTCCTCGCGGCTCCAGGACTCTGGCACTCAAATCGAGGGAAACAGTGGCTTTCAAGTCTTGCCTGGGGGAAGGGGGGATGGGATGTGATGGTCCTATCAAACGATGGATTGTAGTGGGGGGGGGGGGGGAGGTAGGAATCAAAGGCAGTTGAAAACGGAGAAAGGAGGGGACAAGTTAGGGGAAGGAGAATCTTGAAAGTCTTTGGTTTTGATCCTTACGGAAGCTAGGCGGGTCCACCATTTCTTGAAAGCAGTGTAAGGGTTTGCCTTGCTTTTGGGGTTTTGCCTTCATTGATGGCTAATCTTGGTCCGGTAGAAAGGCGGGGGAATTTCAGCAAACAGCTGTTTTCTTCTTGTCAACTTGACAGCGGTTAGCATGGGCGACCGCAGTCCCTGCGTAAATGTTCATTTGAGGGGCTCCTTCCAGAGCCTTAAAGGGAATATACATCATTTGCTTTTGCTGTAATTTTCAGAAATGGATGGAATTGGGGGGTTGGAAATATATAGCAAATATAGTTACACTGACTTTTTTGTGGTTTTGGGTTCGAAAATGCTATAAAAACCAAGAAAAACAATCATTTTCCTGTAGTCTGGTTCCCTGACTCCATTTAAGAAGAAACAGAGCAGTTTACATGCATTGGGGAATTGTAAGGTCAGGGAACCAGTCTAGCTGGCTTGTACCCGTTCATAGACCTGTGTGTAATCGATTGCAAACAAGTGCGATGGTCAACTGGGGCCAGTATTTGAAAAAGGCCAGTTTTTTCCAACGCTGGTCGGCCCATCAGCGTTGGAAATTGATACAAAAATACCACTTTTCTTGAAAATGACAGTATACCAGGTGCCATGATTTTACAGGATGCTTTACACTGTCATTCACTAACAGTCCAGCAAGGTATTTCAAAAATGATTTGGTAGTTTTATTTTTTGATGTTTGCAAATGTTGTATTTTCCCTTTAATGCATGAAAAGGGCTTGCTGCTGGAACGCTGAAACATTATTAGGTGGAGCATTAGTTAGTTTTTCTAATAAAAGGTAGAGTACATGTAGATCATTTGCAGCTATCCAAAAAGTAACCGACAAAATTATTGTTGAAAAGCATACTTGGTTTAAAGATAGTAATGGCACTAAACTCTCTGTGAAGTTATTCTTTCTGGCATGCTGTCATTTTGAAGAAAACAATCAAGTGACGCATTTTTTAGAAATTGCAGTTAGTAGTTGGTTTTTAATTGGGCGAATTTGGTTTTTGTTGTACATGCACTGCATACTGTAGTATGGGCTTCCCCCATAATGACTAAATAACCTCAAATAAATAGACCATATCAAGCCTGCCACTAGTCACTAGTGTACAAGCAACGGCCCACAGAGTATTGTCATATATCAGATAATCTGTCAAATCGCGGCGTATGGAAATGACTCGTTCTGGCTCTTCTCTCCCCCTTCCCCACATCACTGTCTTTCAAGAGAAGTGGAGAGGTACAGGGGGATCAATTTAGATCTGGGTGTTGACCACACGATGGGAATCTTGAAGGAAATTCAATTTTGGTCGCGCTGCCGCAGCGGCCCGCCACTCGGAAGGGAGGTATTTAGCAAGCACTATGGTTTCATTGTTGCGTTCGGTAATATCCCAAGCTAAATTTGAAACTAGATCACCCAGAAAAATGATTTATTTGTCTAAAAAAAAAAAATTGGGTCTTTGGAAACACCCACTTTCACGGTTGGCCCAGATATTTTTCCGGCAAAAGTGTGTCTTGAGATGGCCTAAACCATCTACAAAAGTTCACACCCAGTTATGTACTCTTGACTTTGTTTTCCTTTGCCACGCCTGACACCTCTTTTTGGGGTGTATACATTTATGACCCACCCCCACTTGTAGCTTAGCAGCCTCCCCTTT